CAACCTCGCCAGCATTTGTTGCTTGCTGTTCTGTTAAATTTTGCTATTTTGACTGGGGTGAAATGATATCTCGTAGTTGTTTTAATTTGCATCTCATATTGAAAACTATTGAAGGTCCTTGGCCTTCTGCAGCAAACGCCTTATGTCCTCCTCAGTTTCAGTAAGCAAGAATGTGTCATCTTCATAACGCAAATTGTTGATGAGTCTACCTACAATCTTGATGCCACATTTCTCTTCATAAACCCCTGCCTCTCGAATAATCTGTTCCACATATAGATTGAAGAAGTTTGGAGATAGGATGCATCTCTAACACACACCTTTCCTGATCCTGAAGCATGCAGTGTTCCCCTGCTCTGTTCTGGCTACGGCTTCCTGGTATAGGTTTTGCACGAGCACAATTAAGTGTTCTGGGATTCCCATTCTTCTTAAGGTTAGCCACATTTGTTGTGAACTTGTTAGGATTAAATGTATTTCTCCAAATTCCCTTTCTTGTTTCTGATTAAGGAAGATCTTTAAGATTCTTTAGAGACAGTGAAACCAGAATTGAAGCAGTCTTTTTTGTAATTCCCTTATATTATTGGGTCTTTCTTTCTTTCATGTCCTGGCTGTCCACAAAACCCAGTAATTTAGAGGAGAAGGGAATTTACCTGGAGTGAAGCAGCACTGATATCAGATGCTAGCAAAGTCCTGCTGAAAATTATCCAAAAATGACTGAAATAGTATCTTGATGGAGAACTATTAGAAATGTATGCTGGGTTTAAAAGAGGCTGTGGCACCAGAAGCATTATTGTCAATGTCAGATGGATCTTGGATGAAAGCAAAAAGTACCAGAGGAATGTTTATCTGTGTTTCATTGACTATGAAAAAGCATTTGACTGTGTGGATCACAAGTTGTGGCTACCCATGAGAAAAATGGGAATCCCAGAACACTTGATTATGCTCATGTGAAACCAGTATTTGAACCAGGAAGCAGAAAGGAAGACTCTCGGATTCTCCACCCTGTGAGGTGATGAGGCTGTTGCAGGGTGGAGAAGGTTCAGATCTGTTCTTCATAGGGTCCCTATGAATCTTTATTGACTTGCCAGCACCTAACAAAAACTCCACTTTGGTATGGACATCTAAGCATCCTAGAGTATGTTTCAGTGACCATTTAGACAGTCCAATAAATTTTAAAATCCTTTAAAAACACCTTTATTTTGGTATTCTAGAAAAAGCATAAAAATATAAGGACTTCCTCCATCAATTTGTAGTAATACTGGTAGTTACGAAATTAGTTCATCAATCACAATTTGAGGCTTGATAATGTAGTAAGCACTCACAAAAAAAGAAAATAGAGGATTAAAAGATATAAGTACCCCTTTTCACTTTTTTCCACCAATAAAACATTACACTAGAGAATATTTTAAAAAATCAAAGTATGTTGCTTAGTAGAGAAAGCATGGGAAGCAAAGGATGTGCAAAGGCTTTTTTGAAAGGAAAGGAAAATAATATTCCTAGATCTTCTGCCTTCCTGTCTCATAGGTATTCATTGTGTTTGAACTCTGGTCTGCTTTTTTAGAAGCTTTGCTGTTATTGTTGTGATGTCCCGTCAAGTCAGAACCAACCCATAGCTGAACCTCCAATGGATTTTCAGAAGCCCTTAATCAAACACAAGGAGTTTCTCATTCTTCACCCACTTATAGTTTTGTTTTGTTGAGGTTGTTTTTTGTCTTTTTTCCTTCCGTAATTCCTGACCTTTCCTGAAGCTTTCTTGACATAATGTGAGGTTCTTCTTGATATGTGTGAGACAGTTTTTATTATGTCTGAGTAGTTTGTTGTCAGGTCCTTATATTTATGACACTATTTGTAGTGTTGCAAATTCTAAGTGCTGTCTCTGATTCAGTTTCCTCGTGGCAATCTTCCTTGCAGGTTATCTGTTGTCAGTTCTGTTCCCCATTTCCTGTGGCATACTTCTCATCTGCTTTTCCTTGGAGGAGCAGTAATTTTATTGCTGGAAATAATAATGACAAAGGGCTCTTGTATCTTGATTTTTTTTTAAGGATACCAAAGGAATATCATCTTTTAAAACAATTTTAAATGTTTTATCTGCCTACATTTTCACTGAATTATGCTATATAGTGCTTGGGTAGATGCCCATATGAAAATAGAATTTTGTTAGCCATTTGATTCTAAGAAAATGCACTGCTCCTACTTTTTCCAGTATCCATTGTCATTGAGTTGAAACCCACTTATGCTTGACCTTCTGTTGAGTTTCCAAGCCTATAAATTACCCAAGAGACTACCCCAGTTCTCCCAAGAGGCTACTGATGGATTTAAAACACCAGAGAAGCCTTGGCCTTTGGTTTAGCAGCACAACTTTTTATGGAATATGCCATCAAAAGTCCCTAGACTTTGGCCATAACCATACATAACTAATCAATGCCATTGATTTGATTCTGAGTCATAGAGACACTACAGAAGAGAGTCTATCTGCCTTAAACGATTTCCAAGGCTGATAATGAAAGCAGACAGGATCATATTTCTCTTAGAGTGACTGGTGGATTCAAACTGCTTACATTTGGTTAGCAGCTGGATGCATTAAGAACAAGGCCACCAGAGTTCAATTATACTAATGTAATAGGGGGGAGGGGATCAGGAAAATGGACCTTAAGGGGATCTTCCAGAGGTCTACAATTTTAGTGATTTTCTCAGATAAATGTAATGTTGTTATTCCATTCCACTTTTTATTCAAGGCAATTAGAATCACAATCATTGGATGATAATACCTTTCCTCAGTACTTTTCTCAGTGCTTTAGCTACATCCTTATTCCTGAGGGTATAAATTAAAGGATTCAGTGTGGGAGTAATGATGCTGTAGAACACAGAGCCAACTTTGTCTTGCAATGGAGTACGCTGGGCCCTTGGCCTCATATATGAGAATATAGAGGCCCCATACCAGAGGAAAACCACAGTGAGGTGAGAGCTACAAGTGGCAAAGGCATTTCTCTTGCTGCCAGCTGAACGCATCTGAATAACACTGCAGAGGATGAAGGCATAGGATGTAGAAACCAGGAGGATGGGAAAGAGGAGAACTGTAACAGTGCTGATATATGCTGTGGTTTCATAAACAGTGATGTCGCCACACACCAACTCGACAACAGCTGGAAACTCACAGTAAAAGTGGTGGATTTTCCGAGATCCACAAAAAGGCAGGTGCATCAGAATCATGGTGTGAATTAGAGAGTTCATGGAGGCTCCCAACCATGACAGGACAGCCATCCTCACTGCCAACTGTCTGTTCATGAGGACAGTATAACGCAGTGGATGACAGATGGCAACATAACGGTCATAGGACATGAGGGCCAGGAGAAGACATTCTGCCCCACCTACAGACAAATAGAGGAAGTGCTGGATCGCACAGCTCACAAAGGAGATGGACTTCTTCCCGGATAGGTAGTTGGTTGCCATCTTGGGGATGGTAATGGAGACGTGCATCAGATCCATGAGGGACAACTGGCTAAGCAAGAAGTACAT